CGAGGACGGCGATATTACATTGTTTTTCATTTTTATATTGTTATTCATTTTTAAATAATTTGCTTATACAAAAATAATAAAAGACTTTTGATGTTTGAACTTTTTTAAATACTTATAAAATGGACGGTAAAAACCTAGGTTACGCCACTGTTGAGTTTCTCCTTATTTTCTTCATATGTTAAAACAGTGTGAACGCTATAACGTGTATGCACGTAAAGTAGAACGAAAAGATTTAAATCTCAATATAAAATAGTATAATACTATCTAATCAGATCATACAATACCTACCTTACGCCCGCTCTAGTACGGGGCTAATTAGATCAGATAATATCAGAAGTACTGCCTTATGAAAAAACTACTTTTTCCTTTAAAACAAAACCAAAGACAATATGCAATAGATAATAGTATCAAAGACAAAGATATGCTCTTTTATTTTAAACCATAACCTGGCAATTTTTCGTAGAAAAAAAAAAAGAAATCACTCTAAACTTTCGGCGTTCCACGTGTCGTTTTGATGAAGGTGCTCCGTCTTTTTTATAGAATTTTATAATTGTGTCTGGACTAAAAACGAAAGTATTATACTTTTTTATATTCCTTGTAATATAGTGAACACGTAGATATATAATTTGTGGTATAAAAAGTGAAAAGTAAATTGCCAAAAGTGCTTCTAAATCTGGAAGGCCCATTATGGCGGCTGGGTCATAAATGTGTTATTTTTCAAATTCTCATTTATTTTTAGTGTAAAATGTAAGTAAAAATAGTTTTCTTACATATTTCAAATAACTTGACGTTGTATTTATTTCAAATTCACACATAATTATTTTTGAAATATTGTTCTAAATGTCACACAGATAAAATATTATTATTGTTTTTTTTATATTTCAATATTTTGGTATGAGTAACGAATGGAAACATATAAAACATAAAAATATACATATTTCCAAACATTTTCATATAAATTTCTCCAAAAACAAAAGTGTAGAATTCAAATTAGTAGTAATTTTGTCACTAAAATTGAAGTATATGGTACTACTATGCTATACAGGGTAATTTATGTATTTTATTACAATTTCTAGCAACCAAAAATAATTTTATTCGATAGTTTATACATTCAACAAGAAATCCTGTAAGTTTTATCCATAAATATTGTCTCAAAGTGAAAATATAGCAAAATTTGCAATATAGCAAAAAATTTGCTAATTTGCAAATTTTCCCGCCATTACGGTCCCGAGCGAACGGGAGTATAACATGTCGCGCGCTGTCAGAGCGAAGGGGTTAAAAAAGTCAAATAAGTATAGTCATCAGCCCCATATCCATATTCATAATGCCTGACCCTACATTTCGAGAAAGCTCTTCACATTGAAACATGCAAAACTGCAAATTACAGTGCTGTCGATAGGGTTACGCGTCAAGTTACGATGAACGGACAATAGTTCCCTGTTGTATCAAAACGCGTTCGTTTTAAAATACGGCCGACGTATCTTGGCGAGTCCGACCTTCGCGCAGAAGGTTGCGCAATAGCTTTTTTAAGGAACAAAATGGTGGCATGAGGCGACGTACGGGGGGCGGTGGTCTAGGCTAGAGATTGACCATAAGTAAACACAATCGACCCTTTAGTCATAAAATATCGCAATCGATTAGTTTTATTTAGAAGTTATTGATTTTTGTTTATATAAGATATTAAACGAAATAGATTTACAAATATAGTGAATTTTGTTGATAATAAACAAGATTTCGACTTAAATAAAAAAAAACTAAAAACATATTATTTTCTCAGCTGAAAGACATAATGTACTTAAATATCAATTATCTATTAACGTCTTCTTGAGTAACGACTATTTGAGAAAATTTAGAACCTCCTTATAAATTGCAAATAAATATATTTTTATGTCTTAATTTTAATCGATTTGAATAAAAATCGATTAAACAACACCCTCAGGCACGCGTTTTGGACATCCCTTTCTGGTTACTTCGTAAAGCTTCGTGCTTATTCGGCAATGCTCGGTACACGGTAATATTTCTCAGTCACACGTTAGCATTGGTGTCGTGTTCGTGTCGCTATCTCTGTCTTGAGCACAGTCGGTTACAAAAGTTTTCGTTGTTATTGTTGTTTGTTTTTATTAATAGTGTTAAGTTTGTTTTGTTTGTTTTATTTGTTTTATTTGTTTTATTTGCAAGTGTCAGTTAGCACTTATATTATTCGCCAAACATGCCACCAAAACATAACAGTGTGTTAAATCGCCAGGCGAGAAAAATTATTTACGATTTAACGCAATATATGAAAAAAGAAAAAGAAGAAGGCGTAAAAGATGTCGATAAAGTTTATTTAAGAGTTGCTAACGCAACTGGTGTGTCCCAACGCACAGTACAGCGGATCGCAACTGAAGGCAATATTTCGGGCTTACTTTCAGTATTCCGCACGCCTGGTAAAAAAAGGTCTAGATCAAAACCTATTACTGATATGGATAATTTTGACCAGGGAGTAGTAAAAAAGATGCATACACAACTTCCACAAAACTGAAAAAGAAATGCCGACGATAAACAATTAACAAAACATTACTAGCGAAACTCAAACGGGATATAAATTTTCAAGGTGGTAAAACGAGCTTAAAGACAATTATCAAAAACTTGGGTTTCAAGTGGCGAAAGACCGAAACCAATAGAATGGTTCTTATAGAGAAGACCGACATTCGCCTGAAAAGGATCTTGTACTTGAAGGCAATGAAAAAATACAGGGACGAAGGGCGACCAATTGTATTCACTGATGAGTCGTATGCCCACTCATCACATACAAAAGGTAAGGCGTGGTCAGATGGTTCCGCTCAAGGACTAAAGCGCCCGATATCAAAAGGTCAGCGGATAGTGATGGTACACGCTGGGTCAGAAGCAGGGTTTGTTCCGAACGCGCTACTAATGTTCAAATCTGGCAGCAAAACCGGAGACTATCATGATGACATGAATTTCAAAAATTATGAGAAATGGTTACGGACCCAACTGATTCCAAATTTGAGCCCTAACTCGGTGGTGGTTATCGATAATGCTCCGTACCACAACAAATTAATGGATCCTGCCCCTACATCTAATGACAAGAAGGCAAAAATGGAATCGTGGTTATTAGAAAAGGGTATACCATATGAAAAGGACATGCGTAAACCACAACTTTACGATCTAATAAAAAAAAACAAAGACGTGAATAAAAAATACGTAATAGATGAAATGTTTAAACAAAACAACCACGATGTCCTTCGTTTACCCCCCATATCATCCCGATTTAAACCCCATCGAGATGGTGTGGGCTGCCATTAAAGGGCACGTAGCCGCTAAAAACGTCGACTGGAACGTAACCCGGACAATGGAGCTCATACAAGAAAAAGTAAATTTAATGGGTCAGAATGAATGGAGTGCTTTATGCAGAAAAGTGCAAGAGGTCGAACATGACTATAGGAAGAGCGACCATATTATTGACGAAATGACGGATCAATTATTCATCATTAATACAGCTTCAGATTCAGAAAGTGAGTCTGAAAGTGAGAGCGACGATTACGAAGATGAACCTATGCCAAGTACCTCACATGGTACACAAGGGGCCGACGACTTTATGTTAGGAATTTCCCCCCCTCAGCGACAGTGATTAAATAATAATAAGTGTAAATAAATAAAAAGTATTAAATGTAAATAATATTGTATGTGTTTGTGATAAAATCTGCCCCTATCGAAAGGTGAGGTATCAAAATTGAATCTTTAATTTATAATGTCTCCAAAGTGTTTTGATATTTTTGGTCACTGTATTAGGGAAATTTTATTTGTACATTGGTATATATAAAAAAATGACAATAACAGTTTTCTTCACGAGTGTTCATGCGCTAAACTTCGCAGAGCCTATATTCAGACTCGCCAAGATACGTCGGCCGTATAGTACTAGAGGTTATAGGCCCAGGTAATAGTTTAATTCTCGCAGATAAAACTTGCAAATTAGTGCTGTATAAGTTTACGTTGTAAAACTTTCGATACTCCAATGGAACATAAATTGAATGTAAATATAAGTCAAAATGTAAATGATAAAGTACCTTTTCAACAGCTTATAGGTAGCCTAATGGACTTATCTGTCTTAACCAGATATAACCTATTCAGTTAGTTATCTAAGTCAATATAATAATTGTCATATAGACGAGCATTTGGGTTTATGCAGTGTTGAAATATTTGAAAAAGACTAAATCTTATGGTATTAAGTATTGTAATAATGGAATTTCCAATATAGAAGATTTTGTGGATGCCGATTGGGCAAACAATATAATAGATAGGCGGTCTTACACCGGATTTTGTTTTTTATTGTCTAATGATGTCATATCTTGGGAATGCAGGAAACAAAAGACTGTAGCCCTATCAAGTTGTGAAGCTGAGAAGGAACAACTCTGCAATTTGAAATAACTAATAAAATGTACACTTTAACATTATATAATGACAATCAGAGTGCACAGAAGCTGTCGACGAATCCAGTATTTCACAAGAAATCTAAACTCATTGATGTGAAATATCATTTTATTAGAGAAAGTGTTTCAAATAATATAGTAAATTTGTAATACTTTCCAACAAAAGGCATGCCTACTGATTTGCTAACAAAAAGTCTATGTGCGAAGAAACATTATATGTTTATAAAAATGTTAGGTGTGGTTAATGTGTGAAATGTTTATATGATTATTTGAGATAGTGAGGGTGTTAAAATGTATCTAAAATAATCATTCGTATACAATGTAGTGAGCTCTGTTGTCATAATTTGTAAACTCTTTTCTACATTATCTGTGTCATACTCTTTGCTTTATTATCTGTGTCATGTATGTTGAAATATAGTTCTCAGTTGTATCACAACGCGGTCGTTTTATTAGATTGAGTTATTTGAATAGTTTATTGAATATGAACTGGAGGTTGGCTGTATTGAATATTGTGCGTAAATTCGTTAATTTTTACAGAATTGCGGTGTAGCTGTCCCAATTGACCTTCCATTAGGATTTCAGCAATCGCTTTTTAGCATAAATTTGTTGCGGTCGATCCCTTTTTCGTAGATCTGCCGCGCAAGCCAGAGCCCAATAGGTGTATTCGTCTTTTTTTCTTTCACTGAGATGCTCATATGCCAAATTCATAAGTTTTACCTCATTCTTGGCTTTTGTAGAGGCATGCTTCTTTAAAATTTTCCCAGGAGCCGTGCTATCATTATCATTCTTGCAATCATTATCATTCAATATACAAGTTTGACTAACCTAGAAATAAAAAAATAAAGTAATTAAGTATTTTATAACCTGTGAACATATTCCTTTCCAGTTACTACAAACAAACGAAGTATGGGAAGAAGTTACCAAAGGATTTGAAATCAGATGGAATGCTCCTCACATCCTTGGTGCTATAGACGGCAAGCACGTGAAAATAAACAAACCTCCTGGCTCTGGATCATACTCCAGACCGAATTTCGGCCACGGCGGTATGCCTCAAGTGTATACGCAAGCACAGGTGCACTTTCTATTCCCTCACTCTCATAATCCGATGGGACGGTAAACCGACACGACCGAAGAGATCAGGCGCAGGTCCAACGGCTTTACGTGCTTTCCGAGGCACGGGGGTGAGACATCGCCAACTTCCTGACTCCGGGCAACTACTGAGAATTTCTTGACAGAAAAACTCAATAATTAAATTTTTGACCCGACCCGGGATTCGAACCCAGGACCTCATGATCAGCAATCGCACTACTACAACTACTAGACCAACGAGGCAGTCATACTACTACAATTATAAAAAACAATTCAGTACTGTGTTGATGGCTATATTGTAAATGCCAATTATGAATTTATTAATATGGTCGATGTTGGAACGAGTGGTCGAGTGTCAGATGGAGGTGTATTACAGAATACCAAATTCGGACAAAAATTAAGGAACAATGATTTTAATATCCTAAGACCTGCAGTTGTGAACAATAGTACTCGAATTCTCCCATATGTCTTTGTAGGAGATTACGCCTTCCCAATGGAGCCAAATTTATTAAAGCCGTATAGTCAAACTGTATTGATGAAAGAAAAACGAATATTTAATTATCGATTGTCACGTGCAAGGCGGTTAGTGGAAAGCGTATTTGGAATACTTGCAACTTGTTTTGGAGTATTTCAAAGATCATTTTATTTACACCCTGTAAAAGTACAGAAGATTTTTCTAGCTTGTTGCTATCTTCATAATTTCTTACAAGTTAATTCCTCATGAAGATATAGATACCGGGACTGTGCATCCACCAGCCGAGAAAATAACTGTGTTGCCTCCCTTAGAAAGTTGTTACCAGAAAAATGCACTACAAATTGCTAAGCGAGCAAGAGGATGACTAATGTGAATATTTTAACAATGAGGGTGCAGTTTACTGGCAGGATCAATTTGTTACTACATAATTACATACTTTTCAAATAAAATGTTACAAACATACCGTGTTTTGTTCCACATCATCTTCAACAGAATTTTGTGTGTTAGAATTTTGGGTTATATCCATAGAAGATTCTGAGTCACACGCCACTTCTTGATCATGTAAAAAGTTCACATCACTGTAGTACCACAACGTTGGTTCATATATAGAATCAGCACTTGCCCCAGATTTCATAGAATCCATGTGTTTTTTTAATTCTTTCCAATAATTTGTTATCAGAACATTTAATTTTTTTCTAGTCGTATTTATTTGCTTTAGGAAACATCTCTTGGTAGGTACTTTCTAAGCAACAAATCATAAGCCATACTCTTTTTGATCCGGTCACGGTACAATTTACTTTTAACATTCCACAAAGCAGGTAAATCACAATATAATTGAATGCACTCGATAATGCATTTAAGTCTTCTCACAGAAAACCAAAAAGGATTGCGAAGAAACAAAACCATGAATATGGCTATTTTTGATTTTTTAAATAGTGTGATGATGAATGTTGACAAAAAGATGCCGGTATGCGCGGTATCTATTGCGACATGACTCAGGCTTTTGATTATGTTGACCATGACATTCTGCTCAGTAAATTAGAGTCCTATGGCATCAAAGGCAACGTATTATATCTCATTGAATCTGATCTTAAAAATCGAACACAATATACCGAAATTTCTAGAATAAATATTAACACCAAAAAAGAATAAATATGCATATCAAACAAACAAATAGTTAAATACGGTGTCCCACAAGGGAGTGTGTGTGAGGCTGTATCTCTAAATATACCAAAAATTACAAAATATCCAATATCGCTGTTTGCCGATGACAGTGCGGTAACAATAAACTCTATCAATAAGGATAAATTTGAAAGTGAAATTAATAATACAATTAATTTAATAATAAACTGGTTAAATAATAATAATTTAAAAATTAATCTTCAAAAAACTAAAATTATGTACTCCAGTCAACGCTTAGCAACACCAAATGTTAACGTTAATTACCAATGGATAGAAATCAACCAAGTAGATACAACAAAATTTCTAGGTGTAACCACTGATAAAAGTTTGAACTGGAAAGCGCACACAGAAGAACTAAACAAAAGAATTAGTTCTTCTGCTTATGCGCTCTATAAACTCTCATCCGTCGTAAGTACCGATGCGCTTCTCACGGCATACCATGGTATTGTTGATTCCATCTTGAGGTTTGGCATCATATTCTGGGGAAATTCTACTAATAAGGAAATTATATTTAAGTCCCAAAAAAGGTGCATCAGAGCTATGTTCGGTCTTAGAATTACTGATAGCTGCAAACCATATTTCATTGAGCACAACATTTTGAGCTTACCCTGTTACCCTCCTTATTTATATATGAAGTAGCAAACTTCGTTCAAAGTAACCCTAAATTGTTTAACAAACTATCGGACGTCTCAATTCGCAATCGCAGGGATAATAGCATAGAGATATAATACCTATATACTTCTAAGTCAGTGGATAATAGTAGGTTATGCGCAGTTGGTTCAAGAACGGCATTGATGCATAAAAGTATTTTCTGTCCGCCGCCAATAATATACAATAAAATCCCCACACATCAAACAATTGCCTACCAGACTTTTTAAGCTACATCTTAAAAAATATTTGATAGCCAAATGTTATTATAGCTTGCCTGATTTCTTAAGTGATTGATTTGTTTAAAGCTAAATTATGAATTGCGACATTTCTCTAATGCAATTTTACGAAACGCCATTGAAATTGTTGCACATCTAAAATTATGAACGTAGGGTTAGTTAATTTGTCTTGTAGAATAATTAATATATGTAGTATAATTTTTGTACGCCATAAATGGCAAAACATGTAGCTCGTTTTAAGTTTTTTTAACACCTGTATTTTTACTCATGATTTACAAAATAAATATCTTTATCTTTATTCTCGTTCCTTTTCTTTCGCTGAAGTTTCGTGTACCATTTTCGCTGCAAAAATACACGCTTGCGTCGCGACCCCTCCGAACTGTAGATTAAATAAAAACCGGCCAAGAGCGTGTCGGGCCACGCTCAGTGTAGGGTTCCGTAGTTTCCTGTCCGTCACAATAAGTGTTCCCACTTATGAGTTTAAAGAAGGGTATCCATTATGTTCGCGCTCCAGCAGCGCTCCGCGCTCCTGCAACTGCTCCCGGTAGTGGGTACTGTTGTTTCCATCCAAGTTCAAAATGATTTTCCTAGAAAGTCCTTATAAAGTTCTACCATTCAGATTTTTTTCATATTTTCTAAACTTATGGTTCCAAAGTTAGAGGGGGGACACACATTGTTTTTTACTTTTAGAGCGATTGTTTCCGAAATTATTGACATTATCAAAAAATGATTTTAGTAAACCCCTATTCAATTTTAAATATCTTTCCAACAATATATCACACGTTAGGGTTGAAATTAAAAAAAACCACATCCCACTTTACATATAGGGGGGCTACCCTAATAAAACATTTTTTTCCAATTTTTATTGTTTTGTTTGTCGGCGTGATTGATACACATATTGGTACCAAATTTCAGCTTTCTAGTGCTAACGGTCACAGAGATTAAGCGAGGACGGACAGACGGACAGACAGACATGGCGAAACTATAAGGGTTCCTAGTTAACTACGGAACACTAAAAATATTGCGCAATATGACATACACAAGACACAATAAATAAATAATATGCAATAAAATTTGAAAATCCCCAATCTTTTACTCAATCATTGCGCAAACTTCAATACTACGTATATATGTTTAATAATATTGTGCAATCATCAAATTTGCGCAATATTAATGCAGTCATTCACACTAACCTAAGTCAACGTTAAATCAATCCATTTGTGTAGCAAAAAAAAAATGATTTTTCAAAGATTTGGATTTAAAGGACAATAAGGAAAAAGGATATATTCTCTTCAAGGCACCTGCAATTTTGAAAGCGATTTAGCTAAATCGTTAGCATGCTTGGGGTTTTCGATAAATCGCCAGTATACTCGGCAAGCCCATGGGCATGGCCACCAATATCATTGCCTATCACAGCAATTAGCACTTAAGTACTTAGTGTAGATTTTGCAGTGTGAGAGCAAGCCGTGATCGATTCCCGCTATCAATAATGAAATTAGTAATTACAATTTTACGTGCTCACCTGAAAAGGAAAACATTGTGAGAAATCCCGCATGTTTGCTAAATTGAATGAAAATAAAAATAATTGAAATAAAGAAAAAAAATGTTCAAGGATATGTGAAATCTGTCATTACACGTTAGGCTTGGCGGACTCTTTCTTGCTTCTGTGAAATAAAGGAAGGACTGTGCCCAAATGCCCTGTGGGATACATATGTGTATATATGCTGTAGCACTATGTTAGCTTTTTTCACTATCTGTTGGTGTAAAAATAAAAAGATAACTATTGCAAACAAAAAATAACTCCATGTAATCAGTGTTCTAATATTGAAACTTTCCCTCGTAAACGACTCGGTTAAAATCAAAACAATTTAGAATTCAATATGCGCTGAATTCTTCATTAACTTCTGAAAATATTATATCACACGGTTCAAAGCGGAGTCCAGCCGTACTTGACCGCTTTTAAAAAAAACTTGGCTCACAATTTACTGTTCAAGTTTAGAAGTGCCACCCCTCACAAGTTATGGCACGACTACTTATTGTGGTTGTATTGTGTTTTTAAATACAAATTGAAATTAACAAATGAAATGCGCAAATGCTCTTTTATTTTTGCATAGACTTAAAATGTACAAGGTGAAAAATTATAAATTCCGGACGTTACATTACAAAAAGTGACCCTCAATTCCAGTGGCGTAGCAAGCCCCGCCTTTCTGGGGCGCCATGGCTCCAGGCAGCAGATTTTAAACAGCGACATTTTAGGACAAAATTTATTTTGGCATTTTAACTTTATTTTACCTTTACATTAGGATTTTCTCCTGTATCGTGGTTTACATACATACATCTCACAAGGACAAATATGCCGACTCCGAACAGTTATTTGAAGGCCATATAAATACTTGTTCCAGGGTTCGAACCCGCGGCCTTTAGCTCTGCAACTTATTGCTAAGCGCTGCGCCACGAAGCCGTCAAACAAATTAAATGTAAATTAAAAAAAAATATGACTATGAGCTGTTACTGCTTTTTTTCGATTACAATATTACTACAGGTATTCGTTATATTGTTATCAAATTTATATAGGTATAATATTGTTGCTCGTAATAGAACTTGACAATTTTAAACTTTTTATGCTTCGAAAATGGGGGTAGAGTATGTATATATAGTATGTATAGGCGTAATTTTTTGGTTCTGCTGAGTTACTGATTATCTTATTTATAGATTAAAAGTTAAAACAGTGTCGGCGCTATGGCGTGAAGTAAAGGTACGCTCCTACTCCACAAAACACAATTCATCTCTAACGAGAGACCTATACCTATGCGAAATAAGCCTATATCCATGCCTAATCGTATGCGAGTAGGTCCTACGTGACGTTTTAAATTATGACGTACGATGTGATAATGTTTTATTATCATTACCATTATCATCATAATCACAGCTCATTAGAAATCCACTGGACTTACCGCATTGGTTGCCACATAGAGGCGAAACTTCCATAGTTGCCACGCTGGCAGGCGGGATGGTAACAACAATTATGTATATACATATCTACTTGAAATTATAATGGTAAAACGTCCAAACTATTTATTATACTATACTACTAATTGTTGCGTGGATGGCTACATGAGCTCACAAAAGGATTCAGAAAAATCATAATCACTTATAGCGAAAAAATAATTAAGTAATAATTTAACTCCAAAAGTAAATACCTAAGTACTTTATTTTATTACAAAACTCAGTTGAAATTTACTTCACTATTCAAATACCTATCAAGAGGCGTGGTAGCTCAGACGGTTAACGCTTGCTGTAAATATAACAGAACGCGAGTAACCCGGGTTCGATCCCCGCCGGCACCAATGAAATTGTTAATTGCAATTTTAAGTGCTGATTTACCACGTGCTCGGCGGTGAAGGAGAACATCGTGAGGAAAAACTTGCATGTCTGAGGAATAGGGGAAAAAAACATTTCGAAGACATACGAAGTTCGCCAACACGCATTGGGGCAGCGCGGCGGACACCTCCTTGCCCTAAAACCCTCTCAGAAATGAGGGGAGGCCTGTGCCCAGCAGTGGGATGTATACCATCACTTTACTTTTTTACTTTATTCAAATACCTACTTTCATACCTATGCTTGTCTTTTTTAATTAAAATATTTTACTACTACTACTACTGTACTACTGCTACTACTATTTTATAGTACTAACGTACTGTCAGCACACCTCGGTTCTTAGCGACTGCACTAACCAGTAGGAACAGTGTATTAAGACATCAATTTATATTGTACAAATATTGATAAATTTAAGACATTTTTTTTAGTAAAAGAATATTAACAATGCTATAAACATTACTAATATTCCCCTTAACCACTCGTGGTAAGCTTAAATTGCTTGTGTTACGAGTGGTTCGCGCCAGTAGTCGAATGGCGGATTCGAACCCACGACCTTTTTCAGTTCGCGGTCCGCGCTCTTCCATTAGGCTATTGTCGCTTCAATAATAATATAATGTTAATCAATATTAATAAAAGAATATTTAAACAATACACATTTTAAAAATAACCGGAATTTATGTTTAGTAATAGGAACTAAACAGTTAACACAGGAAACATAAAAGACTATTAATTACATTGCACTTGTGCAATACAGTGATCTATGTTCTGCAAGTAAGCGTGATGTCACGAGTCATGACATGACGTTAACGTTATCGCCAAAGTTTGTGCGCATTGCACGGTTACATAGTAAAAACAGAATAGTAGGCTCTACTCCCGCGCCATGCGAAACTTATAACGCATACTGTTGCAGAGTTGTCACTGTCTTTTTGTTTAACAGCTAAGTCTCATTTAGTTTTATAAGTAGTTATAGTATTTACAAACATAATACATATGGATACGTTCATATGCATCATATTTGTTGAACATTTATTTAGTTTCCTCTCAAAGAGTCAATGTTTGTTAAAAAAATATTCCAGCTTTACATTACTACAATAGCCAAATAACTAAAATACGAGTAAATTAACACCGAGCATATAGTGTCAGAATGTTTAAAATTAATTTGATCTTATGTGATATGATAATTAATATACTTATGAGGTATGTATCAATGTAGAGATATAGTAATATAACATATTAATAAAAAGCTAATTTACTTAAACAAACGCTTATATTAATATATTTTACAAAAAGAGAAAATAAAACGAAAAAGGACTGTTATCAAAGTTTTATTTAAAGTCAACAGTCTCAAATAAAGGTGATTGCGAAGCGCGGCGGTGGGCGTCCTCGACTCGGCCCGATCTTTCCCGACGTTCGGTACATTACTTAGAAGATGGCCTACTATTCTGTGTTTACTATGACGGATAGTATGTTTAGCGTATCTGATAAAATCAACTCTAAGCAAAGCTATATAAATACAGTATTACTGTATCATGATTCAGTTAATTTTGACGGGCTTCAATTGTAACAGACATGACCAAGAAACTGCATTACTTCAACATTAACGGACTTGGCGAGTCTATCCGATACTTGCTCCACTACGCCGGTGAAAAGTTCGAGGATATTCAATACGATTTTAAGTCCTGGCCTGACAAGAAGGTCAAAGAATGTTAGTATTTACTTAAGTGTATTCTTATTCGTAAATATATTAATATAATTTATCATAAAACGGCAAGACATTTTTATACTTACGGATTTGTTATCAATATTGCAGTTAGAAGAATGGAATTTATATATTTTATAAATTTTAGATAATAATCTATTCAATAGTATATATTAAAGTTTTTACTTCAATTGGAAATAATTTCTAGTATTAGTATTAAAAATGTGAAAAAAGTAGAGGTAGTCACAATTAGTGTATAATATAATCATGTGTTAGTCATAATATTATGGTTATACAATGTATAATATAATGAAGCATGAGTAATAAGCTTGATTTTCCAAATTGCAGTTTTTAACCTTTTTGGAGAAGTTGTAATGGAGTAGTTAACTATTAAGGTAATTTTTTTTAATTTATGGAAAAAAGGAGGTAAGTGACGATAACGTTTTAGTAGACAAAATACGTCATTCAATATCGAAATTGAAGCCTGTTTTGACGATAATTTTTTGTTCATCCGGATTTAGTCTTGTACTCACGTTTAGCTACGGATGACATTTTCGAACGACCCTTGAATCCTCCTTATGATGGTCCATTTAGAGTGATTGAACGTTTTGATAAGGTATTTTTGGTACAGTTACAAGATCATAAAGTTAGTATTTCGACTGATCGTTTAAAGCCCGTATCTGTTGAACGATAATGATGTTACTCCCGTTGAGAAAGAACCCGGTAGAGAACAAACAACAGACTTTTTTTCATTAACAGGTTCTAGTTAATGAAAAAAAAGACTGTTGTTTTCAAAACTAAGAGCGATCGTATAGTTAAGCAGCTTGCAAGATTTGTAAAGTAAACTACCCCTAAGCCACGATGCTCACCAGTAAGTTTTCTGATCTGTTTGAGATGCCAAGGATTAAGTTAAACACTTTTCATAAAACATTTGTAGTTTTTTTTTTTGTTTGTCATCATGTTAAAGGTATAACCAAACATTGTATTTTGTGTAGTATTTCTAAGTGTACGGATTTACTGCAGTACCATAATGGTCTAAATGCAAACTCGTACCTTCTTTTAGTAAAGTAATGGTATTTTTATGGTTATTTTAGACAAATATGTAGTAATTCCCTGTGAATTTCTTACATGGCATTCACCGTGAAGATGTCGTCGAGTCGGTGTCAGTTTATTTTATTGCAGGGAATGCTTCACAGTGGACTACGCAGTGGACTACTAGGTCTAGAATATTTTGAGTTTGTTCTATTCTGAGACGAGGACGTAGACGAAGACGAGCCTAACAATAGGTTTTCGTAATTTTTATGTATATTTTTATGTTTTCATACGCAACGTTGAAACTTCGCCTTAACAGTTCTAAATATAGAATATATATATATATATATATATATATATATATATATATATATATATATATATATATATATATATATAAGCCTTAAGCAGTTGATTTGAAACTTACTACTGTCCGTTTCACGAAAGAAGTCCCACGGAAAATATACGTACTAAAATTTAATGTATGGAATTTGACACCAGATGTCAAACATTGCAAAGACTGTGTCGCCGCGACTATGGGACTTTTTAAGTGAAACGTACTTGGCATTTAATAAAGTTGTGTCGAACCAACATACAACATAATTTATTTCTACCTAAGTCACAGAAATTAAATTGTAAACGTAAGCAAATTGAATTGTTATGATACGTCATTTTTATTTGGTCCAAATTTAAGTATAAAAGTAGAATCAGTTACAGATAATATTCATCTGCATCTTATTTTTTGATATTATAATGAGTTAAAACGAATAGCAAGTTGGGGACAAAGTAAGAGAAAATCTAGCAGTCGCCCGAGCCCAAGCGATTAATGGCAATAATAGTACTGTGGAGTCGAAATTAAACCATCTAGCAATCATAGCATTGATTGCAGTCATATTGTTAGGGTGCATAGTGCTATGTGTATTAAAACGTCACTGCCTAAAGTCTGCAAGGCCATGCCTAAGGAAGCAAGTTGGGGTTAGCGGAGGACTGGAACACCCGGTTATAAAGGTACAGTCCGTCCCGCAGCAATCAACAGCGCCGCAACCGCAATCAAGTACATAATGAAAACGATTGCGTGTGTATCAATATTTTTAAAGGAAACAAAATTTTTGTTTTCACGAAACTTGTATTTCTATTTTCGTAAGTATAAAGTGTATTTATGTAATAGGCATAAGTGAGAATATGTGTGTATCGGAAATATATATCTTTTAATAGGTACTATTATATATTTACATTGATTTGGGATATGTATTTGGTAATTTACATATAGATGTTAAGATTCATACTGTCGTCACTACGGTTTCGTAAGAGAAACCCATGTAATTTTTATTTTTAGACTTGATGTAATTTAGTTTGTAATAAATAACAGTTGTCATTGTTCAGCAGTATGACGCAATGTATATGTACCAAGTATAGAGGTTTCATATGTGAGCGTAATGTTTTGACATACCTAGTAGTTTTATCATTTCATACAGGAAGTTTAAAAGAAAAATTTTTTTAGGGGGGATGTTATGTAGGGACACAGTAGTGTTGTTTTTTTTACTTTTTATAAGCCAGTGCTGAGCCACAATCCCACCTGGTGGTAAGTGGTGATGCAGCCTTAGATAAATCACACTGCCATCGTAACAAAAACCTATGCACTCTTGCCTTGAAGACGCCCAGATTGTGTTCGGATGGAAATTTAGACGCCGGCAAATTATTCCACTCCTTTGCTGTACGCATTAAAAAAATCGAAGTAAACCGTTTGATTCTAATATGTGGTATATCGACAACAAAGGCGTGAAGTACCGCCGCACTCTTCAAAGAACACCAAGTTTCCTTGCGACTGCTTTGGCTCTGGACTCTATGAACCACCCATAGTTGAGGTTCGGAGAAAATTCAACCCCTAACAACTGAAGGCGGTCAGTGTACTCCAAGGATACATTCCGGAGTATGAGGAGCCAGGGTGAGCAGGCTCCTTTTAGCGGTTAAAAGACACGCTTGTTTTGGGGGCGTTGAATCTCACGAGATTGACATCGCTCCATTCGGGGACTGCTTGTAGTGTGAGATTCACACGCTCAAACTTAGGCTCTCTTTCGGACTGGATTTGATCCCGACTGGCCCGAGTTGATGATACACTTGGTTGGTATCTCTCTACAACTGTGCTATCGACTGCATAACCATAGATACCGGATATAAGCAAATCATTAATATGCAGCAGAAAGAGAGTTGTGGAGAGAACGGACCCTTGAGGAACATTGGCATCAGTCGCCACAGGATCGGATGAGCAGCCACCGACGATGACCCAGAAAGACTGTTCACTCAGAAAGTCCTTTACCCATTCAATTAGACCAGGGATAAGCCGAACGCTGGAAGCTTATCCAAAATGCTAGCGTGCCAAACTCTGTCAAAGGCCTTCGAGACATCAAGGGAAACAGCAAGTGCTTCCCCACTGTTCAGAACAGTGGGGAAGCAGGAAGAAAAAGTGGGGAAGCACCCATACGTTTAATGCGGTCGAAACTGGCTTGCCGTAACGCCTTTTTGCAAGACTTGGCGGCTTGGTTAAAGGCTCTCTTCTTAAGGCCAACATCTGGAGCTTTGCGGTCTCGAGCATCGACCCAAGATAAGTACGCCATATTCTTATGCTTTTTAGCACAAGCGCACTATGCGTTGAACTATGGGTGAGCCTTACCACTAATGGGCAAAAAAAAGGGGATGAAATACTCCATCACTTGATGTACCTGGGTTCATTAATTGGGCCCCCAACTATCTACGGTCAGTCAGCGGTGCAACCGTGCTTTGGATACCGCTAACCTCTATAACCAAACAGCTGACACCAAGAAATGGCCGCGTCGCAACCGTTTCTTATGTGAAACGCAACTGTCCAGACCCATTCTCTCTATGAAGTGGGTTTTAACTCCTAACATCATACCGGAACACGACTTGCATCATTTGGTGATACGTCTTTGCAAGATGGGTGGTAACGAATCCTCGGCCGGGCCTCTCAGTAGTAGACAACCACCCTACAAACAGCATGTAGTGCTGCTTGCTTAGCACTACCCAGGAGATACGTGTAGGGAGCGTAATTCCTACGGACGCGAGCAGATTCATCCCACATTTTGCTAAATTGACACTTTGCACTTGTGTACGGAGTGCGCTCGGCGGCGGACACCAGTCGTTTCCCGTCACTGCCCACGCTAGCCCGCCACCAAATAGTAAATATTATTGTATCACCAATACCAATATCTTTATCTGAGAAATTGTGGGTCCCGAATAGAAACATCAGCGAAATTCGTGAATATTATTACCGAACCCGATGGACACCTTCTGCACCTTCTGTGGGTCATAATACGCGACGCTTAGCCATAAGCAACTAGTACCAACTCGTACGTACAATGCCTAGAATAACGCCCGTACAATATGTATTTTGTTGAATTTAAAAAATCGCCTCTGAACCTTTTTTTTCTTTAACAAACTAAGGTGCAGTACGTTTATAGTGCAACATGTTTGTCATCAATAATTCTGTACCTGTTTGTGATGTGAAAATAAATAGTATAAATTCCATTCTATTCTATTCTTCATGTGTCCTTCAAGTTCAATGCCTGGATACGCTAACCCTGATGACAAAAGATGTCTCGCACCTTTGACGCTGCTTCCTGTCACCTGACAAGCGTGAAGATTAAGGCAAATCCTCCCTAGGAAGGGAAACGCCCATCTCCAGCAGTAGACTTTTACGGACTGGTGATAAAGAAGTGGAATAAAGATTTAACTTTTTTTTCCAGCGCTACCGTATGGTCAATTTCCTTTATATGAAGAAGGCGATGCCAAATTAACTCAGTCGCTGGCAATTGCTCGTTATATTGCTCTAAAAGAAAACCTGTTGCCACCTGACCCTTGGGAACAGGCTGTGTTGGACAGTTTTGTGTTCACCATCTACGACTTTTGGTCAAGTAAGAGATTTTACGGTAACATATTTTTTTACATTTGACCGAAACATCGTGAGGTAAACTGCATATCTGAAAAATTAAAAATTTTGATGACATGCGAAGCCTGCCAACATGCATGTGTGTAGTTTGGCGTACATTTTCTTGAATCTTCACAGAAATTAAATAGACGCCTATATTCATGTTCAATTAAGAATTATAATGCAGGTGCGTTGTCACCCCTAAGGAATAAGGTGGAATGCCTCGTTTCCAGTAAAAAGGGTCTCCGGTTCTCTGCACTCATTGTAGGAAACACAGCTGCTTTAAGTTGTCATTTTACGCTCATATTCTTTGAGAGCGTGGTCCTACCCCGGTCGAGCCGATACATCCGTGAATGCGGAAGAAAAAACCCCGGAAACAGGCCTCTTCTTATTTCTGAGAGGGTTTTAGAGCAAGGAACTGAACGGTATAGAGATCCAGAATAATTGATGGCTCTGTCCTGTCTGTTATCTCTTATACGGCCACCGCACGGTTAGGACGTAGATAATTCTATCTACAGACAATTTTAAGAAGTAGTTCGAATGATATCTTTGTGTTTTCAATTTTTAGACGTTCTACCTTTCATTAAGGAGCAAGATCCAGCAAGAAAAGCAACCATTAAGAAGAAAATTATTGACGATAACATAGATTTCTATTTCTCTAGATTTGAGAAACACCTGAAAGAGAATAGGGGACACTTTGGTGGAAAGGTATAATTTTTGTACATTCAATCTTAATATCAGAAGAGTTTTACTAGGTACAGTAAGTTAACAAGAAGTAAGTGTCAGTGATACAATTGACAATAATCAGATCAGTAAAACTTTTTAAGTGACTAGTCAGATGCCTGGCCAAGCAATTAGGTTCAACTAACTCCTGGGTCTGGGTGTAGAATTTAATTTTATTGAAAACCATTTGTTGTATATTTTAACAAAAATAAGACACTCAATAAGTTTTGAGATATACAAAAAGTATTCTAGATACTATTAATATTTGCTTTACATCTTTTTAAACTATTCTCCATCATGCCCTTTACAAAGTTCCACTCGCCTATACCAACTCTGAAAACGCTTCTGCCAGTCTTGATCTGACAGGTCGGAAATTATTTCTTCGTAGGCAGCCACGGCTTCTTCGGCGCTTGAAAAAAACTTGCCTTTTATTTTTTCTTTGACTCTTGGGAACAAAAAGAAATCACAAGGAACTAAGTCAGGGCTGTAGGGTGACTTAGAGTTTCAACACCAGATTCCTCAATAAATGCTTATGTTGGGAGGTATAACATCGTGATGTATCATGATTCTCCAAAGCCCGGTCTTTGGTCTTCTCTCCCGCACAGCTTGAAAAGCTTTGGGTAATGCAACTGTAGTATACCATAAAGAGTTGTCTGGCCTAAAATTTCCCGGCATTTACGTAGACAAATGTCCGCTGCGCGAAAAAAAACTAGCCATCATTTTTTTGCTGACGTTGCGAGGTCTTTGCAGTTTTGCCGGTAACTGTCTTTCTGAGTAGACCCATACTGATGATTGCCTTTTATTTTCCGGATCATATTAATAGATCCATGTCTCATCACCAGTAAAGATTTCTGAACCCCGTTTTCAAAACATAACTCATTTCATGGCACCAATTCACACGAGTCTGTGTTTCGCTTTCGGAGAGCAAACGAAGGATCCATCGACAACAAGCTTACTCACTCCAAGATGTTGATGTAGGATGGTATGAATGCTCCCCGAACTAATGCTTACAATCTTTTCGATGACCGTATATGTGATTCTTCTCGCACCAACATTTCAGAAGTCGATACATTTTCTACCGTTACTGCAGGGGCCCGGTTCTTTGGTCATCTTTAAGGTTAATTTTACGGCTTTTGTATTCAATAAACCACCTAAAAATATTGCGCGTGATGGAACTGAGTCCCCTAATGCTGATTGTAACCGTTGTAAACTTAATTGTTCGATTAAACCAAATTTAAAATCATAATAGATCATAGTGCGCAAAAGTTCACGGTTAAGGTCCATCGTTTTAAATAAAAAGCGCGGGAAGCATTGCAGGAAAATTAAAAGAACTTTTTTTTAATTTTGAACAATGGGCTTATAGAGTTTTATTTTTAAATTAATTTGCTATTTAGAAACATATAAAACGGATGCGTTCCATTTTTAAATTTCGGGCGTCTCAAAACTTATTGAGTGACCTACGTATAGTTTTCACACATGGCAAACTATTTATGTTATCTACTTATGGCTTAAAAATCAACTTTAATTTGAATATGTCTCTCTTTTCTAAATGACAATACAAAGAGACAAGTATAAGAGATAATTGACGGCTACGTGGTTCTGTCGCTTAGCATTGAGTTACAGTGCTTAGGGTCGCTTTTGCATCCCGTGCGGAGCAAGTATTTGTATGGTCCTACTGACCTGATTGACCTATAATATTTGTCCTTCGAGACAATCTATGGGAAAAGCTTATGTTCAGCAGTGAACTTAAAACATGCTGAAATTAATTATGAAAATAATAAAATGTAGTCGTATTTAAATGGCATATGAAGCTGCATTAAATGAACTTGGATAAGAACAGTATTGAAAATCAGAATTCCAGAAATAAACATTTGTTTCTATTTTCTTTATCTTTTCAGTTGACCTGGGTTGACTTTGTATTTGTTGGTATTATTGAATCAGCCCACCTATTCCTCGAAATAGAAATTGAGAAAGAATACCCCACCGTGGGCACGCTGGTCAAGGAAGTTCTTAGATTGCCAGGAGTGAAAGAATACGTCGCGACCAGGAAACCTTACGTACTTTGAATGAACTGTTTTTGTAAATATAATTATTTAATGTTTTTATGTGGTTTTCTTTTCAAAATTCAATAGTCCCGCTTGTTTAATAAGTTATGTATTAAAAAAATCTTGCTTTAGTTTTGGAGCTCTGTCCATTAATATCAGGTTATCACCCACATCGATATGATGTGGGTGATAACCTGATATGAATGGATAAGGTAGGTATCCTGAATGGGAAAGGATCCCTATGATATTTATTTATGGTACATTTTTGCTGCAACTTTTGTGATCGTAACTGCAACTGCTGAGAATCATAAGCTCGCGGGTTCGAATCCTGGATTGAGTCAAAATCAGTTATTGGGTTTGTCTGACAATAAGTTCTCAGTAGATTCCCGGAGTCAAGAAGTAGGCGGTGTTTTAGCCCCGTAAAAACACGCAAAGCCATTGATCCTGCGGCTGATCTCTCTCCGGTAGTTTTGGAGTTAAAAGTATCTAGGTAAACAAAGTTTAGCACACATTCACATGCGTAAATAGTTCATAAAAAGCGTGCGCAAGCCAAAGCGACAACTTCTCCGTGTTGGGGTACGTAAGCGACTGATCATGAGGGAAGCTTAAAAGAAACTGGGTAAACAAAGTTTACCACACACTCAATCAATATACAGGGTTATTTTTCAAAAAGTAGCCAAAGTGTATGTTTACGTATTGATTTCTTATATTTACGCGAACACTACACATTGATTAAAACTACTTTTACGGATTTAACTTTAATTTCAATTATTTTTATTTCCCGACGTTTCGGGTGCTTTCCAGCACCCATGGTCACGGGGGGCTGAGATGACTGACGTCCCGATGTCAATTTTTAATATAAATTGTATGTTTAATTAAAAATATGTAAATATGTATGATATACCGATATAACAGTTTTTGAAAATACGAGTAAATAGGGCATCTACTTTTATTTAATTATCCCAAATTGAACATGATATGTGTGCGATTCAATTCGCGTTTTTGTTTCTCAATTTATTGTCTACTGTTCACTTTCTTAGGGACACGCGTACTACTCACGAATACTAGTAATAACTACACAACGCAAATTATGATTCCAATTTTCCCTTCACATTTAACGGGCTTAGAATCATAATATCACCATAATAAATAAAATTAAACAATATTTCTGCTTACAATGCCATAATAATGACTACTGTCATTATAATAGCGTAATTAAGAACTTGGAATAAGCTATTTACAATTAAATTACGCAATTAACCCCAATAAATAATATTGGTACCTCAAAATGAAATCCGTTTATCTCTATGGATAGACGAGCACGTTTTCTAAAATTTACGCTTATTACCTGTGCTTGTGCACTTTTACCTTCCGTGAACGCAGCAATAATTTTACTGTAGCGGCTTTCTTAACTTTGGGCCAAGTACGTCGAGAGATAAATCAACATCTCTCGACGTACTTGGTTGTGGCTCCATCATTACCCACTCTTAATAAAAAACAATTATTAACAAAACAAAATAACAATAATTAAATAAACAACATAAAATAACAAACATTTTAACAAAATAAATTGTATCACCACGAGCGCGTTCCGAAACGGAATGAATAACTATTATTACGAATGTCGGCGGGTTCGTCTTGACAATAACGAATTAAAGGCGATTGTGCAAGCTGATGATACTCAATCTAAGGCTAAAGTAGTAGCAGCAGGTTTTGAAGTTGCATTAAAACAATATTGGTCCATTTGCGTCAAATTGGCGAGGTAAAAGCTTGACCAATGCCCCACGAATTCAATGATCGCCTGTGCGAAATACACGTCGAGATGTGCGACTGCTCAAAAGTTACACAAACGAAAGAAATTTGAACCGCATTATTACCTGCGACAAAAAATGGATACTATTTGACAATCGCAAGCGCTCAAGCAAGTTGGTTAGATCCTGGTTCAGCACGTCAACAATGCCCTTAACGAAACCCTTGCCGAATCCCCTAGAAAAGTGATGGTCAATGATTAGTGATCTAGCGCCGGTGTGATTCATCACAGCTTCTTACCAAACTGGATAAGCACTACTGCATATGTGTTCTATGAAGAACTAAACACAATGATGGAGAAGCTCGCAGGTCTCCAACCAGCTTTGGTCAATAGCTTGTCCCCGCTGCTCCTGCACGCCAACGCGCGACCTCATACTACACAACAGGTGGTCTCCAAGTAATAAGAGCTAGGGTTGGAAGCTCTTCGTCATCTGCCGTACTCGCCAGGTCTCGTGCCTACAGACTTCTACTTCTTCCTGAATTAGGATAATTTTTGGGGAAAAAATTCAATACCCGCGAGGCAATAGAAAATGACTTTGAAGGATTTGTTGCCTCCCGTCCAAGTAATTTTTTCAAGAAGGGCATCAACAAACTGCCACTGCGTTGGCATAGATGCCTTGATTGCATTGGTGATTACTTTGATTAATGGAAATAAAAAATATTGAAAAAAATTACGTGTACTTATGAGGACTACAGGAGCTAAAAGTTTTATAATATCTCAAAGTATATGATCCACTGCAGAAAATAAAACCAGAAAAATATATGATATTTTTCTGGATATCTGCTAGTTAGGTGTAAACAATATTGAAAACATGATACCTACTATTAATTTGATTCGATAGAAAAAAATCACAAAGATACCTCTAAAAAATTATTTTAACGACATGCAATCGTTCTGATTTTTTTGTCAGATTATTATACAAGCAACATATTAACTTATTGTTGTTTTAATTTTTTAACCCCATTAATTGATTCTTTTTAGATCGCATATTCTTATTTCTGAAATAATACGTACGGATATGTGCGTAAACGCCTGTGTACATGTACACAGACACTGCGACCTCTCTGGCATATAGGTATTATCAAATACTATAGAAAACCTACGGTATTATAATTTAAAATACGTGCAGCTCCACTCAAAGCTTGGCAATCATGTACACTAGCGCCTCTAGTGGCATGAGTTGTTGAATTTAGTTTACAGGCCTGTAAATAGTCGCGCATTGCTTGTATTATTTTACTTACTACATAAGTAATTAATAAAACATGTTTGCAAAACCTAGTTTTTCACGTGGTTCAATTTGTGCTGTATATGGTTGCGACAGTTATAAACAACTAAAAGACCCAAAATCATTCTTTACAATGCCCAAAGTTTTGGAGAGGTTAGTGGTATGAAATTTTGTTAAACAAATGTGATAGCTAGTAGGCTTGTAATATTTCGTTTGTTGTACTTATTAATAAATTTCCTTTTAGATTGAAGCAATGGATTGCGGCTTGTAAAAAGAACTGACCTGGATAATTTGATGAAAATTAAAAATGCTGATTATTTTTCCAACAATTAAGTGTTTTGTTCAGATTATTTTGATGAAAAATGTTTTGGAAATAAAGATTTATATAGCCAGGAGTATGTTGTCAATATTTAGATGGTATATTATTTAATGTAATGAATGTGTTTTTTTTTCATACTAATATGTACAGATGTACCTATAAAAAGTATCATTTTTTAGGTTAATGCCAGGTTGACTACCAACCTTGAAGTTGTATAATAAGAAAAATATAATAAGAGAGGATCTCTACGTGAAATAGACTGTTCAATAAGTTATAAATATCTGTCTTACATACCCAAATTTTAACATTTCCATTATTATGTTTGTAAGGATTTAGTAAGACTACTAACTACATAGTACGTGTGCCTTTTTTGTAGTAGTAATATTTGTAGACAGAAATGCTAAATTTACATCTTGTTATGATAATTATAAGAAAACACTAATTTAATACCTCTAGTTTATTATCAAAATATAAGAAAAAATATAAAAGTTTAAGCTCTAGCTGTGTGTAAAAATAAGTGAATTTCTTTTTTAAAGAGAGCAAATCGTGCAAAAACACAAGTGTTACTGTCTCAAAAACAAAGTTTTAACTAAGCACATTATCCTGTTAGTATTTCTGAAAAGAATTCAGAATAGGTGCTATGTTTTAGGATATAGTTCACTGCCACATGATAAATGTAAAAAATTTGTATTATTGATTGGGATTATAGCTTAGAAAATAGACAAATAGAATTGCCAAGAGAGTTTCAGACATTATCAACAAAATTTTCAAAGATAAATAGACAGTTACTTAAAAATTTCTGTAAACAATATTAAAGTTAGATTAATTTTAAATGTACCTATATGAAATTATGAACAAATAAATATTTCTAAATGCGATGAATGTATAAGATTATTTTTAGACAAGTGTTTCAACGTTCTGCTAAAAGAATACGTAAATAAGTTTAATGAGTCGCGCAGTAGATTGAAGTCTAGAAACTTGAAAATTAAAGAAAATTTCACATTCCTAATGTATTTAGTTTTATTTTAAAACCCCCAAGAAATCTTCAGAAACTATAATCTACGTTTTGTATCTAGTACATTGTAAAATTGTACATAATTTTCAAAATCTGTCGAAAAACTACGTACAAACAAAGAGTTTTGCATTAACTTTTTCACCAACTCATGCCACCTGATGGCGCTATTTTGACACATGCCTTTCCAATGTATGGAAATTAAAGAGCTGCATGTAGCTGCACGTATTAAATCGTAAAGTTTTATAAAGTATTTGCTTTGAGTATTAAACCAAATTTGGTACTATCTATGCTGCAGCCCGATGCCTGGCGTTATATAGAGATGTCGCTCTTTTTGCCGCAGTATTTACGTAAAGATTATTTAATGTATTTGTATGATTTTATTTTTAAATTCATTGTTTGAAAAATATTTTTCTTTCCATAAATATTCTTCTTTCGTGTATATGTCGATATAAAATATTTTAAATTAAAATAGCGTAGTAAGGTAGGTACCTTGTCAATAATTATCATTTGTAAATATGGGACATAAAGGGAAACATGTTACGAAGAGTAAAAAACTCCAGAAGAACCGCTAGTAAAAGGTGGTTATTATTACTAAATATTTATAACAATAAACCTATGAATTTTAACAACGTAGTTTATTACATTACACGTA